ACCCCAAGCCCGAAACCGTCAACCCTAAACCCTAAACCCTAAACCCTAAACCCTAAACCCTAAACCCTAAACCCTAAACCCTCCGTACAATTCAAATTCCTGGGGAATCTCACCGCTGGGGCTTGGACTGTGAAAGCTGGAAACGCACAGTGCGCGAATCGGTGCTTCATCTATGTCTAAGGGTTTAGGGTTTAGGGTTAGTTGACAGAGTCCTGCGCCCCTAAACCCTAAATCCCTAATCCATAAAGCCCTACACCCTAAAGCCCTTTTATAAGCCCTAAATCCTAGACCCTCATCCCCGAACCGGATGACGGGCCCTAATAGGTTCTGCAGCACGGCATGATTTTCCTCCTCACCAGTTGCCAAATCCCTGCGAAGTGGATATTGCCTTTGAGCTATGCGGGGTTCAGAGTTTAGGGTATTTCGGGCGCCAAAAAAGTAGCACCCGAAGTAGGCCCCCATTTCCTTCTTTAGTGTTGGGGTTCCCCTTGTGTAATCCCCGTGAAACCAAAAAGGGTACCTGTTTATTCCTAGGTTACTCCTGGGTCTAGTAGCCCTAAACCCTAAACCCTAAACCCTAAACCCTGAACCCTAAACCCTAAACCCTTTTAGAATAAGACTTCCACAAGCCGCAGGATCGGACAAGGCGTGGCCCCGCGTCATGCGCGCTCGACGCACCAAGCAGCGCCTCAACGCCTTGATTGCCGAGGCCCTGGCGAGCCCCTCTTCAGAGTGTAGGGTTTAGGGTTAGGGTGTAGGGTTTAGGGTTTAGGGTTTAGGGTTTTAGGGTTGAGAGTTTAGGGTTTAGGGTTTGGGGTTTAGGGTTTAGGGTTGGAATCTTTTGCGCAAACCCAGACCCCTGGGAGGATCCAACGTGTAGAGCCCCGGGGAGCATCCAAAAAGTAGATCCCTTGGAGGGTTCCTGAGAATGACCCAAAAGTTTAGGGTACTGTACCATTTTGGGGCTTCTACATCTTGGATCCTCCCAGAATTCTGGGTAGGCCCCAAGCCCTTAACCCTAAATCCGAATTCCCAGTTGTGTGGGTAAGCCCTGCGCCCTTAACCCCGAACCCAAACCTAAACCCTAAACCCTAAACCTCTCTTACCTATATATATTTAAACCCTATAGTCAGCAAATCGACCGGCCCTGTTGGTCACGCCCTAAGGGCAATCCTTCCAAATCGACCGGCCCTGTTGGGCACTCAAGGGTCTGGCCTTGTCCTGGCCCACGCGCGCGCGGCCTTGGCCTTGGCCTTGGCCCTTCCAAATCGACCGGCCCTGTTGGGCACTCAAGGGGCCCTTCCAGATCGACCGGCCCTGTTGGGCACGCAAGGGTCTGGCCTTGTCCTGGCCCGCGCGCGCGCGGCCTTGGCCTTGGCCTTGGCCCTTCCAAATCGACCGGCCCTGTTGGTCACTGGCCCTGGGGCCAATCCTTAAATCGACCGGCCCTGTTGGGCACGGAAGGGTCTGGCCTTGTCCTGGCCCGCGCGCGCGCAGCCTTGGCCTTGGCCTTGGCCCTTCCAAATCGACCGGCGCTGTTGGTCACTGGCCCTGGGGCCAATCCTTAAATCGACCGGCCCTGTTGGGCACTCAAGGGTCTGGCCTTGTCCTGGCCCGCGCGCGCGCGGCCTTGGCCTTGGCCTTGGCCCTTCCAAATCGACCGGCCCTGTTGGTCACTGGCCCTGGGGCCAATCCTTAAATCGACCGGCCCTGTTGGGCATGCAAGGGTCTGGCCTTGTCCTGGCCCGCGCGCGTGCGGCCTTGGCCTTGGCCTTGGCCCTTCCAAATCGACCGGCCCTGTTGGTCACTGGCCCTGGGCCAATCCTTAAATCGACCGGCCCTGTTGGGCACGCAAGGGTCTGGCCTTGTCCTGGCCCGCGCGCGTGCGGCCTTGGCCCTTGCAAATCGGGGGGACCCCAGGATCGGCCCGGGTCCCAATTAAAAATGCGATTTTTTAGTACTGAAATCGACGGCTCTGGGTGGTCTCTCGTTTTCTGGATTTTTGACCAAAACCGAGCCTTCACCGGTTTCAGGATTTCAAGTCCCGCCCCTCTATGGGGGCCGATGAAATGGTTCGTGGGTAGGATGCTCCATGACAGAGGGAGGTTGGAGGACAGGGCTTGCTGATGAGAAATGTAAATTTTTTATTTTCTTAATGTTTTGGGATTCTCTGGGTGGGTGGGTTTTTTTTCCGTTGCCTACACACACTGCTGGCCTAGTAAATGCTCGAACTTGAGATGCTGAACCCTAAACCCTAAACCCTAAACCCTAAACCCTAAACCCTAAACCCTAAACCTTAAACCCTAAACCCTAAACCCTAAACCCTAAACCCTAAACCTGGGCCTTCTGCGGTATGCAAAAGGTCTTCTAAGGTTGCTAAGGGTCAGGAGTCCAGGTCAGCGTGATCTCCGGCCCGACTGGGAACGGGGTTTAGGGTTTAGGGTTTAGATAGGGTTTAGATAGGGTTTAGGGTTTAGGGTTTAGGGTTTAGGGTTAACTATCCCTCGAAAGTAGGAAGGCCCTCCTTTGAATACTAATACACACTTGTCCACGCACGTAAATGTCAACATGTAGTTATGCCTATCAAGTAATGTAACATCATCGGACACACTAAGTTTTCATCGTCGAATATCACACAATATAGTATGCCCAGAGACCCCAAAACCCTTGGACTATAAAGGGATCCTTAGTATGATTTAAGGTATATTCGTTAATTGAGGGACAGTAGGCTCTCTGGGTTCGGTAAGACAGAACGCGCAGAAGATGAAAAAGCAGGCTATGCCACTTGACACCATTTGCGAAGTCGCTCGTCTGCAGTGGGCTAAACCCGACCCTAAACCCTAAACCCTAAACCCTAAACCCTAAACCCTAAACCCTAAACCCTAAACCCTAAACCCTAAACCCTAAACCCTAAACCCTAAACCCTAAACCCTAAAAACCCTAAACCCTAAACCCTAAACCTAAACCGGAGACATAGATGAAGCACCAATTCGCGCACCGCGCGTTTCCATCTTTCACAGTCCAAGCCCCAGCGGTGCGATTCCCCAAGGCTTTCGGAGGGTTTAGGGTTCAGGGTTTAGGGTTGGTTCGGGCTCTGTCTGGTGAGAAACCGCCTCTGATGTATCCTCGCATTTGTCGAAGGAGTCGAAGGTCCAGGGAGCCCTGTGGAAATATACACCCAGCCAGAGTCATTTTAGGGTTTAGGGTTTAGGGTTTAGGGTTCCGCAAAATTTGCGTGGAAAAAGGTCTGAGGGTACGAAAAGTTGCCTCCTTAGGCCTTTGGCCTTTTGCTTGAGCGCTTGTTACAGTGTTTAAGGATTTTGCAGGGTTCAGGATTCACGTGTTGCTCAATGACAAGCGCTCGAATCTCCATTTTAGGTGCGCGAACTTGCTGCAGGTGAGGTGCGGAAAGTCGTTGCCAGTTCTCTTGCTAGTCCAGAGGCATCTGTTCAAGTGTTTCTCTTCGTCCAGAGCACCCGAAACCCTAAAGCCTAAAGCCTAAAGCCTAAACCCTAAACCCTAAACCCTAAACCCTAAACCCTAAACCTTAAACCCTAAACCAAAACCTGAAGCCCCTGAGCCTAAACCAGTGAGGATACCCCGCTGGCCCTCGTGTTGGATGGAGCGGATGCCGAGACGTCGCAGGCAAGGGATGCAAGTGAAACCCTAAACCCTAAACCCTAAACCTTAAACCCAAATAGCTGACAGCTTGGTCTCGCCTTCCGCACTGGCTGAGATGGGTGTTTAGGTCCTGGCACAGACATGTAACAAGACCCTAAACCCGAAACCCGAAACCCTGATAAGGTTGGGTGCTTGGGGTGCCATTTTGCACGCCGGTGGCTGGCAGAAGATTCCTGCGGCATGAGAGTCTCCACTCTCCCCAACACGTTGGAGACCAGGATGGGCTATGATACCCTATACCCCCTTAAAAAGGCCCTTTATAGGGTTGATTACGGGGATTATAGGGCCTAATAGCCCATCCTGGGACGTTCTTGAAATTGAAGGTCGCCACAAAACACCCCGAACGTGAGATATCATCAAGCTGCAAGGTCGCAGAGAGCCCTGAGTTAACAATCGTCCTTCAGCCATTTTGGGATTCCATTCGTATGGGTAGTTCTCTAAGCCTTTATGGGTCATATAGTACGGCACCCCTGTAGCAAGTGCCCAAAAAGGCACCCTACTTTAGAGAGCTACGCATTCCGGGACATGTCCAGGCATTGTGTGGGCGTGGACTGCCAGCTGAGCGGATGCCTGGGCAGCAGCAGTGGAGTCCTAAACGCGAACCCTGAGCCTAAACCTGGAACTCTGAACCCTAACCCTAAACCCTGAAACCCTGAAACCCTAAACCCTAAACCCTAAACCCTGAACCCTCAAAGCCTCAAAGCCTAGCCCGGGCAGCCGCGTTGTGCGTGCATGGGGTTGGCGGCTTCGGGCTCGAAAGGAGCCCAGAGACCACAAGTAAGTTTAGGGTTTAGGGTTTAGGGTTCAGGGTTAAGGGGTTCTGCTTTGCAGGTTGGAGGAGTCACGCTGGAATGGACTTGCTTGAGGTTCAGGTGCTGAGGATTTCAGCGTTTCTTGCATTTCCTGCCGGAAGACTTGTCGTGCCAGCTGATGTCAAGAGTCTGGGTTCAACACAGGGTTTAGGGTTTAGGGTTTAGAGTGGAGGCTTTAGGCTTTAGGCTTTAGGCTTGAGGCTTGAGGCTTTAGGCTTTAGGCTTTAGGATCTGTATAGGGTTTAGGGATGCTTCAGGGTCTGGGCTTCAGGTTAGAATATGCCATAGTTCACGGACCCCGTATTTGGTTGGAGGCGTAGTCCTCAATCAAGGGGCATCGGGGTCTCTGGAATAGAAAGCGCCACTGTGGCATCGACGGTCAAAGGTTGTGTGACCCGGGGTACACTTGACCGGAACTGCGATATGCGTTTAGGATCCTGTCGCCGAACGTGGTGCCGGCTGTCGTGGAAGCGCTGCATCTCAATTGCATTGTGGGCATACGAAGCCATGATTGTCGGTAGATCATGGCTGTTTGCAGAATGGGAACGATTGAAGCTTCACGAGGAGTACTACTACGGGTGGATGGGGGAAATCTTGCACCGGCTGCTAGCCCTCATCTAAGTCGGCCCAAGGTCGACCCCCCCCCCCCATTTTCACATTGAGTACTGGCATCCTTGAGGCGGTGCAAGAGTTATGTCATTGGGCCAAATATGCTAAACCCACTTTTTGGAACCCATGTTAAAATGGGGGGGGGCATGGCTACTTCTCAGCCTGACAGGGTCCACGTGCCCTCTTCCTCAATGCTATACAGCCTCTTCTTCGAATCTACGAGTTTGAAGCGTGTGCGGCCAGCGCAGGGTTGTTCTGAGACTTGTGCTTGCCTTACCGACTGCCGCGTGCGCTGTTTTGCAACCGTAGGGCTTCCGATGCGTGGAAAGTGAGGGTCACACCTCTGCCAACGAGGAGAGAGCGAGGGATCTCGAGCTGGTGTGGCCGAGTGCAGGAGCTGAGAGGGCACCGGGCTTGGGGTTTGGGCGGGTTTAGGGTTTAGGGTTTAGGGCTTGGGGTTTGGGGTTTAGGGTTTAGGGTTTAGGTTTTAGGGTTTAGGGTTTAGGGGCTACAGGCACACCTGAGCAAATCTTGTTTTGTCACGGGCTTGTGGATAGCCTGGTTTGTTGCATTGCCGCTCTTGCCCTTTCTCTTGCTAGAGCACTCTTTGCGACATTGTTAGCGCCTAGCTGCACGCATCTGGCCCATCCTTTCGTTTTCGTGCGAGGCGTTGCGTGCACCATTTACTAGACGGAGCATTGTCATTGTAGCATACAGTAACTTATGTTCCATGCTTTGTATATTACAGCGTTATCGTGTAGAATGGTATATGCTTCTATCGTACCACAATGTGTTATCGTGTATTCCCCTGCCTTCACAGCTCGTCTCTTTGCAAGGACTTCCTGCGCTCGGCCGAAGCGACCGGCGCGCTGGACCTGCTCTATCTGGACTACACCGGCCAACTGGAGACGTCAATCATGCGGTTTAGGGTTTAGGGTTTAGGGTTTAGGGTTCAGGGTCTAGGGTTTAGGGTTTAGGGTTTAGGTGTTTAGGGCTGAAGGTTTAGGAACGACTGAACCCTAATCCCTATCTCCTGCTTGATCCCGGTCGCCTTGTCACCCTAAACCCTAAACCCCAAACCCCCAAAACAAAACCTGGCTATAGTTCCCTGCAGAGTGGCCTAACCCTTAAACTCCTAAGTCCCTAACCCCCCATAAACCCTAATCCCCGAGACCTTTCAACCCTCACCCTCCTACAAAAAACCCTAAACCCTAAACCCTAAACCCTAAACCCTAAACCCTAAACTCTAAACCGTAAAGCGCAGACAGCTCTCTCAGGTTCCCTGGCCTCTCGGGCATCGCATCTCAGGCAGGGTCTGCTTAGGGTTGGGAGGTTTAGGGTTTAGGGTTTAGGGTTTAGGGTTTAGGGTTTAGGGTTCCCTAAACCCTAAACCCTAAACCCTAAGGGGGTTTAGGGTTTAGGGTTTACGTTTAGCTTTGAAACGGTGCTCCGGTACGCATGGCCGCAGGCGAGCCCTCATGCAGTGCACAGAGCACATGGGTTTGGGGTTTAGGGTTTAGGGTTTGGGGTTTAGGGTTTAGGGTTTGGGGGTTTGGGGATTTAGGGTTCTGAGAATCTGCAACCCCAAACCCTGTATAGCTGCAAGGCTCGAGGTGCATAGGAGACGACCTGCTTTCGCATCGCCCGGCACAGCCCCGGCTTTTTCTGTATCCGTAGCCCTCGACACCATGGCATCAGCAGATGCGATGCCAGTTCTAATGGAGCATGACATCACTGTAGTCAACACCTTCGTTCAGGTTTCCGAGGCCCGCCCGCGCCAGTTCTTGCAACGCTCGCAGACGGCGCCCGAAGCGGCCCTGGTCATGGAGGAGCCCACGGCATCTGAAGGCGATCTCCACATCACAGGCAAGGCCGCTGAGCAGAAAACTGACAAGGAGGTGATTGAGGAATCTCCAGAATCCACCGAGCCGGTGAAGACCGTCAAAAAGCTACAGACCCTGCGGACGCTGAACCGTTTCGAGACGCCGGACCCTTGGGATCTGGAAGCACTCTGCAAGAGCCTGGACGAGGCACCGGAGGAGGCGCTGCCGGCCAAGGCCGGCGTCTCGAAGCCATGCCTGTTGCACTCCGCAACTGGGTCCTTGTTGGTTATAATTTTGCATTTTTGTCGTCTTAAATTCCCAATAAGGAAAAACATGATAATTTTAAAGATACTCCCAACAATGAACAACAATGAAGCAGGCAACCCCTGACCGATGGGAATGGGACGCGATGGTCAGGGAGGAGAAGATCATGGCACCGGCCCTGGAAGCTGTGGCACCACCAGCCACGCAGGCAACACAGGCGGTGCCCGGGACGGCCTCGGCGTGGGTCCCCACGCAGCCCTGCCTGGCCCAGGCAGCTCCAATGGTGTCACTCCTGCCAGTGCCAGTTACGCTGGCCATGCCTGTCGCCCCAATGCCTGCACTTCAGCCCGGATGCGACTACCCCCGCCTCTTGGGCAGCGTGAGCCCAGCGTCGCAGGGCTCCCCCAAGCCCACCTCGCCCAGCGTCTCGCCCAGCGTCTCGCCGCGCGTGCGGCCGGGCACTCTGGAGGCCACACAGTTGGATGAGAACCGGCAGCTGGTCAAGTGGTATGTGGACGCTGCGAAGTTTGAATCCAACTCGGAGAGGCTGCTCAGCCCAGAGTTTCAGCTCCACTTCCCCGGGCAGGCCGAGCCCTCCACCTTCCGAATGGTGATCCTCGCCAGACAGACTGGTGGAAAGCATGGCGCCGGATTCAAGAAGGCAAAGGGGTGGGGCAGTATCGAGCTGAAATGCTCTTCTGCCGTGCCCTCAGGCGTGGGCAGCATCGCAGCCTGTGTCACAGTTGGTGAAGGAGCCCGCAAGCAGCTCAGCGCACAGCCGATCGAGCACAATTTCGGCGACAAGACATGCTGCCAGCTGCGGAATGGGGAAGAAGCAGATTGGGACTTCAGACAGTCGATCAGCAGAGACGCCAAGAACTGTGAGATTTCGGTGGAGATCCACTTTTGATGGGGCTCCACTGCTTCGCCAGTGGCTGCTGAAGGGGTGTTTGGCTGCTGAAATTAGAGCATCGCTGCATGAACTTGTTGTGTAGACCTTGGCCTCAAGTCACGATGACACACGTAAACAGAATACAAATTAGTAGAATGACAAACCCAGAACAAGATCCCAACATGTAGCAAAACACAATACAAAACATAACATGTGAATTTATATAGCCATATCATATAATGTAAAGATATATTCACCTGATGATATAATATAGCAACATACGAATAATGCTTGATTCTATTAAGAATATTAGAAAAAGAAAATATGACAAGTTATTATATGACAATATGACAATGTAACAGTATTCTAACAGCGTTGCAATGTAGTAATTTTCTATTCTGCGACCTTGCCTGGGGGGGTCCGAGAACTTCTCACAGCATCGGTCTGGAGGCCAAGGTACTTGGAGGTTCAATGGGTAGTTCTACGTAGGGTTTAGGGTTTAGGGTTTAGGGTTTAGGGTTTAGGGTTTAGGGTTTAGGGTTTAGGGTTTAGGGTTTAGGGTTTAGGGTTTAGGGTTTAGTACCTTAAGTAGGGTTACACGTAGAGTGGTTATAAGGTTATAAGCAGAGTGGTTATAGGTACCTTAAGTAGGGTTTATGAGTACATACTAAGAACCCTACTTCTAACTACCCATGAGCGTCAAAGCAAGGGACAAGAGTTCCCTGAATGTTCGCACTCGCTTACAAAGCAGCGAGCGAAGATGTGTTGCAACCCCCCCCCAGTTGCCGCACTTAGCAAATTTTACTCAGGATAGGCGTAGAGAGCCAGAGAACCATGAAGGGGGGGGGAGGGGGGGGAGGGGTGCAGAAATGGGCAAGCTGACAGTTGTTGCAATGTACAGCGGGTATCTGGCACGGACTTCCTACCCGTAATGGTGGGTTTGTACAGAGTTGCAGTGCTTGACCCACAGCTTCGACATCGTGCCAGAAGCCTCGCACGCGTGTGCAAGTGTGAGAGTCGAAACCTTAATCCCGAACCCTACAAACCCTAAGCCATTTCAAAGAACAGGGTTTAGGGTTTAGGGTTCAGGGTTTAGGGTTTAGGGTTTGGGGATGAGGGTTTACTGTTTGTAACATCCTGGTCATTCTGAGCGGGTTGAAGAGTGCCTGTGGTGTACCTTTCCATCCGAACGAGTGGACAAGGGCCTCGCCTCCAGTTGCCAGTGTGAGATTCGAAGCCAAAGTCCCAGAAAGCCCAAGATCCCTTCATTGAGGGTTTAGGGTTTAGGGTTTAGGGTTTAGGGTTTAGGGTTTAGGGTTAGGAAATATGTACCTTACATCATCATGAGGATCCCTACATAGTTTGAGGTATGTATTTCTTAACTACTTGGAGGCTCATGGGTAAACATACGGGGGGGTGTAAGTACCCTAGGTAGGGTCTAAGTAGCGTTATCAAAATTATACTTGCAACTACCCAGGAACCTCCAAATAGTGGCCCTCAACCCTCAACCCTCAACCCTCAACCCTCACCCTAAACCCCAAACCCCAAACCCTAAACCCTAAACCCTAAACCCTAAACCCTAAACCCTAAACCCTAAACCCCAAACCCTAAACCCTAAACCCACCCATTCAGGGCTCTCCGGGTCCAAAGCTCGGAAGGCCCGCGCTGCGCTCGCTGCGTCCGGGCGGGCTCCTGGCCTGCACGCCTCTCATCCCAATGAGGGTTTAGGGTTTAGGGATTAGGGTTTAGGGTTTAGGGTTTAGGGATTAGGGTTTAGGGTTTAGGGTTTGGGGTTTAGGGCTTAGGGTTTACGGTGTATAGATTTGTTTTGGGGGTAGGGGGTTAAGGGGATGTATCAAACAAAGGAATGAGGGGCTTGGGGGCAGAAGCCCAGCTCCGTGCCTCACAAGGCTTCAGGGGTTGCAAAATGGTTCAGGGGTTTAGGGTCACTAAACCCTAAACCCTAAACCCCAAACCCCAAACCCTAAACCCTAAACCCTAAACTACCTAAACCTGGGGGGGGGGGGGGGGGGGGGGCTGGCGCCACCTTCAGTCCATGCATCAAGGGTTCAGTGTTCGACCTTTTCCTCAGACAACCTTTGTCGCAAGTTACCAAAGAATCTTGCATGGGATGATGTGGTCATGATCAAGCAAACAGCAGGTGTCGAGTTCTTACGGCAGGAATCCCGTTGCCAACAGCAAAACAAGAATCAAGGCGTTCGGGTGTTTAGGGATCATGATATGAGGGTCTTTCCCCAAAATTAGAGGTCCCTTTTTGGGGTCGTTCATAAGGATGATACTCTCTCCTTTTTTAATGACACGCCCTTCAGCGCCCCCGCCTCCTGCACACAGGGCGCATGGCTCCGTAGCACAACGTCTAGGTTCAGCGCACCAGAAAGCATGCGCTCCCAGTCTATGAAGGCCTTCCGCAAGCAGTCAAGTAGCAACTCCGTACATCTGCATCGTGGCGATGCTTTGTTCCATCGTTCAGGTTTTCCATGAGGCACTCCCCCGTTGAGGACAGACTATCACTATTGTTATCAATATTTTCGAGTATAAATATCATCATAAAGTTCATAATTTCCCAAACACTCTGTCAACTCTATGGGGTTCCTAAGTTAAGAGTCAGATGGGCTGGATCGAGTGGCGCGCCAAGGGAGCTAAAAATTAAACGTTTACTGGGGGGTTAAATAGCAACCAGGGAAACTGTCATCACTTTTTGGCTTCTGGGTTCGCGACATGAATGCGAAACTGTCGTCGCTTTTGGAAGTCTGTGTTCGCCAAATTCGTCATCACTCTTGGACTTCTGGGATCTCCAAAGGGTTTAGGGTTCAGGGTTTAGGGCTTGGGCCTAGGGTTTAGGGTTTAGGGTTTATAGGGTTAGGGAGCATTGCCAGAAATAGTTGTATTAATAGTATGAATAGCATGAATAGTACGAATCGCATGAACAGTATTATTCGTACTATGAATGAATAGTACTGGTAGTCTAACTAGTATTAATAGTGTGAATAGTGCTTGTAATCCTCCTAGCACTAATGGTATTAAAACCATGCCTGGAAGCGTTCCCTGAGCTCGTCATTGTTGGAGATCTTTGATCCTACATACAGACGCATTGAGGCTAAACCCTAAACCCTAAACCCTAAAACCCTAGCATCATGTCCAGTCTCAGCAGTTTTGATCCGTCTGGAGACACCCCCCACTAAATTCCTAAGCCCTAAACCTTAAAACCCTAGACGCCGAAATCGAGATGTGTACGAAAGCAAAAGCCCTAAACCCCAAACCCAAACCCTTGACCCCAAACCCTAAACCCTAAACCCTAAACCCTAAACCCTAAACCCTAAACCCTAAACCCTAAACCCTAAACCCTAAACCCTAAACCCTAAACCCTAAACCCTAAACCCTAAACCCTAAACCCTAAACCCTACACCCTAAACCCTAAACCCTAAACCCGCAGGACAACATCAGCAGCGGCTTGCTTCCATCCCAGCCAGCAGGTGGCAAACTCTAGCCTAAGATGGGAGGGTTCAAAGTTGCTTTTATAGTTTAGGGTTTTGGGTTTAGGCTTTAGGCTTTAGGGTTTAGGGTTGCTGGTAGCAATAAAGGTAGAAGTACAGCTAATCATAAAATATGTTGATAGCATGAATAATAGTATCAGCAGCGGTATAGGAAAAAACTAGTAAATAGCAGTGAATGCTACTACTGCAGGGGTCGTGCTTAAGTATTCAACTAATGGTATGCCCTTCTTTCAAGTTGCGTGGGCTCTCTGGGTTACTGAGTCCCAGCCAGACTGGAGCCACGCCCACGCGCTCCACGCGCTCGCGCACTGCCTGCTGGCCGCGGCGGGGGCGCTGGGACGCAGCCTGGAGGGCGCTGGCCAAACCGGGCTGACCTTTGGACTTGAAGTCGTACCTAGAGACTCCAATACCCCTTTTAATGACGGAAAATTCCTTAGGCCATCCAATTTTTTCTTAAACCGGACAAGGAACCCCGAGATGTGTTAAGGAATCTCTTTAATGAAGGAGCTTTCCTTAAACCATACAAGGAACCCCTCATATTTCAAGGATCCTACTTACTCTTCAATTGGGGGTATTGGAGCTTAGGGATGATCCGGGCTTCGGGTAGCACAGCTCGGCGGGCTGTTTGCCCAAGGGTCCACCAGAGAGCCCAATACGAATGTGCTGAAAGTTTAGGGTTAGGGGTTAGGGTTTAGGGTTTAGGGTTTAGGGTTTAGGGAAGCTACCGAAAATCATTCAAAGGGTTCCCAATATGAGTTAAGGCCCCTTCCTGAGTCAAAGGGGTGCTGGGCTCTCTGGGCAGGTTTAGGTTCAGGGGGAATACCCGCTTCTTAAAACGAAGCCCTAAACCCTAACCTCAAAACCCTACACCCTAGCAACACAAACCCTAAACCCCTAAACCCTAAACCCTCAAACGCAAGTCTGCAGGAACGACTACGACTTCTTCCACAGCAACGCAGCGGCTGCACGGATGGGCCCGTGCACCACCCAGGCCCGATATTGAGAAGCCGGACTCAGCCGCGCCCAAATACCTTAGCAGTCACAGCGACGTATAGCCATGCAAGGGTTTAGGGTTTCGGGTTTAGGGTTTAGGGTTTAGGCCTTCAGCCATACTTGGATGGCTTCAAGTCGGGTTATAAGTACTCCTGAACAGGGGGTCATGAGAAGTACTCCTGAACAGGGGGTCATGAGAAGTACTCCTGAACAGGGGGTCATGAGTACCGTTCCAAGACTTGTAGTCATACTTACAACTAGCCATGAGCCTCCGAGTAGCCAAGGACTAGAGGGTTTAGGGTATAAGGCTAGGATGCCACAACCGCCCACGAAGTATGTAAAATAACGGCTCCTTTATGGGTTTTGAGCTGCTTTAGTTTTTTTGCATACTTTTTTGGGGTCCAGGTACTCCTTCTCAAGGGTTCTTGGGCCCTGTCGGTAAGGCCCCCTACCCCTGAAGCAGGGAACCCAGCCCTTAAAACTCCATCAGGGTCCCCGTGACTCATGTTTAGGGTTTAGGGTTTTAGGGTTTAGGGTTTAGGGTTTAGGGGCCATTTTGGCTCAAGCCATTTTGGCTCAAGTTTGGCTACGAGACTCTATTGAGTGCTTTTCCAATTAGGTTTCCTCCCCATCGTATTGCAATGGAGGCCACCGGGAAACTTGCATCGTGCATTGCTTACAGTCTACGCTGTGCTCAAAAGGCTGGGTTGGAAGAAGTTGCAGACTTATTGTGGCGAGCTCTCTTTCATGCAGCACAGTGTCGCGGACCTAGGCAACCCATTTGTCTCTACTCTGCCTTGGGACTGGACGTGGAACAGCAGGATTTCGGACCGGTCTGTTCTCCAGCTCAGGAAGACCTCGGCACGTTTGTGAACATGGCGACACAAACTGTTGAAGAGGTGTTTTCCAGTGATGAGTGCAGACGCATTACAGAAGGCCTGGTTGGAAGTCTGATGGCGAAAGCACATGACGCTATTCAGGTGCTCTCGGACAGGATACAAAGTCTGGAAGGCACGGAAGTTACTGATACTGGCAGCGTCAGGGAGAATGTACCTGCCACGGAACAGGCTTCCAAATGGAGCGACAAGGGTATTACAGTTCCAGAGCCGCCAGAATCCGGTCGGCAATCTGCTCGTGTACCTGAGTCTTCGGTCTTTTGTTCGGACATCAACCAGACTTCTTGTGTGTCATCGGTTCCTTCAAGCTCGGACATGAACCTGCCTCTTCCCGCATCTTCGGTGTCTTCCAACGTGAGCTTACCTTTCGCTCAGCCTGAGTACCTTGAACAACTCAGAGAAGCCCATATGCTCAGAAGGCGTGCTCTTAAGGAGCAAAAACGACGAGAACGTAGAATGTAAATTCGGTGGTCCGTTTGTTTGTAGCTTGTACTGGTACTTTCAGTTTGGATATGTCTCCCGAGCACGAGTCTTGGAGAGAAGTGTCCATCTTTCAGCCATAGTCAATCATTCCCGGCCGACTCCCCAAGCCCGGATGCAAAAAGGGTTTAGGGTTTAGGGTTTTTGGGTTTTAGGGTTTAGGGTTAGGGGTTTCGGGTAATAAGAGGTCTTCTTGTGAAGGAAGGGACCCTTGGAGTTTTGCGTGGAAGCTTTGTAAGGCACCCCCCTTCCCTGTTTCAGGGGTGCTGTATTGTTCTCCCTAAACCCTTAACCCTCAACCCCAAACCCTAAACCCTAAACCCTAACCCTAAACCCTAAAGCCTTACAGTACTCGTAAACCCTGAACCCTGAATCCTAATCATGGGGGTTTTCATCGCGCCTCTCCAGGGAGGTCCATGCATGGAGAGCAACACGGCGCGCGCCATCGCGGCCCTCGATGAGAACGACATCCCTGCGCTTGCGGAGGCGTTTTGGGATTGAAGGGCTTATTGTTGAGAGGTTTCGGGTTTCGGGTTTGTATGTATTAGGGTAGTTTGGGGTTGAAGTTTAGGGTTTTTAGTTTTTAGGGTTTAGGGGCTTGGCTCTTGTGCTAGCCCAAGAATTCGCTCTCAATGGAAGGCTTTCATCATGCGAGGTTGGATGTTCACCCTTATATTAACGGTCCTTAAGAGGGATGTGTGTATAAATAAATAAATAAATAAATATATATATATATATATACATACATACATACGCCCGTTTTATTATGGAGGGCTTGAGGGCTATGGTTCACTGGTTTGGCTCGTTGAATGCGGCTGGTCTGATGACCCAACCCCCCAAAAAAACAAAAACTAAAACCTGGCAAAGGCCTAATGGATCCCTAAAACCCCAAAAGAACCAAACAAAGAACAAGAACCTGGTAAAGGCCTAATTGATCTCGAAAAGCCCTGTCAAATCTCTATCCCAAAGAGCCCAACGTACAAACGACGCCTATATGGTTTAAGGTATATTCCTAAACCCCAAACCCTAATCCCTTTTCCGTAGCAAAAGGGGCTTTGGTCTCTCTGCCCTCTGCGCGAAAGATATCCCTGAAAGCCCAAACCCCAAATTTAGCAGCCTCCGGCTCAGGCCGCCGACCCAAGAGGCCCGAAACCTCTCAACCCTCAAAGCCGGAAATTGTTGTTACCCTAAAGCCTAAACGCTAAACTCTTCACCTAAACCAGGGTTTGGGGGTTTGACGGGTAGAGGCTTCGAACTGTTGGAGTGGTTGGCGTAAGGTTGCAACATAGGCAACCCCCTGGATGGGGGGTGCAGGGGGAGAAAAGGGGGGGGGGGTGGGTGGGGGTTTGGAGGGGTTTTGCTAAAACCCCCGTCAGACAGTCTTAAAAGTCTTGAAGAGGCGGGGGGCTGCGTGAAACAAGGGGGAGGGTTGGGGGTAGGGGGGGAGGGTAGGTGGGGGGGTGGGGCGGTGGGGGGGGGTGGGGGTTTGGAGGGTTGGGTCCAACACGCCGCCAGGGTCGGCGGACCCTAATCCCCAAACCCTACCTCCGAACTCCAAGCCCCAACACCTTTCGGAAAAGCCCCCTGCCCTTTACAGGCTCTAGCCGCCTGGGTGGAGGACCCCCGGGAAGAAGATTTGCCTTGGCTCCAAGAGAGTGTGGCCGCACGGTGGCGATTCTGGGTTCGCCAGGGTTTGAGCAGAGGTTTAGGGTTTAGGGTTTAGGGTTTAGGGTTTAGGGTTTAGGGTTTGGGTTTAGGGTTTAGGGTTTGGGGCTTCGTAGGATTTGGAGGGCCTGATGGGGTTTTGGAGTGCTTGTAGGGTTTTGATGGTTATAAGGTCTGGAGGGGTTTGTGGGTGTGATAGGGCTTGTAGGGTATAGTAATTGGGCTTCACAGGGCTTGTAGATTGCCCAGAAACTCACAATGAAGGAATGTACCCTAAATCATATGAGGATGCTTATTGTTAAAAGTCCAGGACTACTTGGAGGTTCAGGGTACTTCTAACCCGTCAGAATAACTGTACTTATAAGCCCCCTAATCCCTAACTAGGTTACAAGTAGACTTATAACTGTGGTTATAAGTACCTCCTAGTAGCCCTAAACGATAAACCCTAAACCCTTAATGGTGGTTATAAGTACCCATGAACCTCCAAGTATTCCCTAGCGAAGGAGTCATGGTACTGGAATCTTTGGCTTCAGAGGCTGCAGAGGTTTAGGGTTTCGGGTTTAGGGTTTAGGGTTTAGGCCCCTAAACCCTAAAGCCTAAACCATTTGTATATCTTTTGGGGTGTATCGGCTGGGGGGTGGCTTCGTCACTTCGGGGGGCCCCCGTAGCTAAAGCCCACTAATGCCTTAGTATGGACTATAATCCCAGAGAGGACGGTACGCTTGAGTTGGGGTTTAGGGTTTCTAGGGTTTAGGATGTAGGGTTTAGGCATTCCTCAAATAATTACTATACGGAATCCCCTTGATGAATGGAAGGTGGAGGTCTGGAGGAGAGAGCGAATGGTCGTTTCATTTTGCTGCAGAAGGGTCGAGGGCGCGAAGCCTAAATCCCTAGACGTTTTAGGGGTCAGAATGCTGACCCTAAACCCTAAACCCTAAACCCTAAACCCTAAACCCTAAACCCTAAACCCTAAACCCTAAACCCTAAACCCTAAACCCTAAACCCTAAACCTGTTCATAGGGAACTTGTGCCCGAGAGTCACTGAAACAAACCTGCCAGGGTCCAGTGGCCAAGAGGGTCCTGAGTGCCTGTCAAGAAGGACAGCTGACCTAGAGTTTAGGTTTTTAGGGTTTGGTTTTAGGGTTTGTTGGGTTTAGGTTTAGGGTTTTGGAGGTTTAGGGTTTCAGGGTTTAGGGTTCAGGGTTCAGGGTTAATTTAGGGGCAGGGGGTGAATTTATATGATGGGATTTGTGGAGTCTATGCGGTTTTTTTTTGGGTTTGTAGGGTTTATAGGGCTTTTGACACAGGGCAGTGTGTAGATGGAAGCAGTGAGGTGAAGCCATTCACTGAAAAGCGGAGGAAGCGCGATCGGCGCCCTGTTCCTTCCCTGAACGCCAAAGGAGCGACGCCCGAATCACCCAGATGCCCTATACACCCTGAACCTTAGCAGACTAAAACCTAAACCACCCTAAAGCCCTTAAACCCAAAGACCCCCAAAACCCTAGACCACCCTAAAACCCTAAAACCTAAAACCCAAAGATCCCCAAAACCCTAAACCACCCTAAGTCCTTGCAACCCTAAACCACCCGACAGCCCCAAAAAAACCCTAAACCACCCAAACGCCCCAAAACCATAACCACCCAACCCCCTAAAACCCCCAAAACTTCCCCAACAAAAACCCAACAAAACCCAACAAATCCAAACAAAACCCAAAAAGCACAAAAACTCCTAAACTCCTAACACCCTAACCCCCAAACCCTAAACTCCAACCCCCCAAAGCCGGCTCAGAGGAATGCTGGGATGCGCGTGGCGCAGCAGTGATGAAGGCGGGAGCGAGTGTGAAAGCTGGACGTAGGGCTTAGGGTTTTGGGTTTAGGGTTTAGGGTTTAGGGCTTCGGGTGTGAAACCTGGACGCAGGGCTCAGGGGGCTTAGCGCGGGCCTCAGTCCTGGCATGAAGCAGTTCCCGGGCTCAACAGGGGCGTATAACCGTTGAGTGTTTCGGGGTTTAGGGTGCACAGGGCCGAGTTAAGGGACGTAAGGGGGTTATTCACGTATACAACCCCTATATATGGTTGCCCACCTTCTGCCCTAGGATGGTACCCCCCCCCCCTTTGTGGGTTGCTTTTTAGAGTTTAGGGTTTAGGGCTTTAGGTTTAGGCGAGACCGTAGACCATGGGGGGGGGGGGGGGGGGATACCATGCCATTTGGGGGGGGGGGGGGTAGAACGCACGGCGCGCGCAACCATTTACAGGTCTTTGTACCTTTTATAGTACTTGGAGGTTCATGGTACTTACTAACCAATTATAACTGCACTTGTAACCTCACTTGTAATACCCCTCAGCGGGCCTTGTAGGGGTTATCCCAACTATAAGTAGGGTTATAAGTTATAAGCCAGTTATGAGTGGTAAGCAAGTACCATGAACCTCTAAGTATATAACCTATGCAGCCCCTACAATACCCCCTAAGGTCCCGTGTCAGGGCCCTCCTTCAGTCCCTTGACCGGGGGTTGCGAGAAATGACCGCATTCGAGAGTAGACCTCAAACCATAATCGGATCACCGGATCCCTATCATGGTTTAGGCTAACGCCCATGAATGCGGCCCCGAACAGGTTTACGGATTTCAGCAGGTTTCCGGACTTCAAGGCCTTTGAGGTTTGGGGGGGGGGAGGTAATTACGTGACTTTGAGACTCCTGCAGATTCTCGGGCTTCACCTTCACTGTACCCTGAACCCGAAGCCGTGGTCTTCACCGAACCTGTCGCCTTGCCACCTGCCTCATCCCCAAGGTCCCTCACCCATCAGTCCTAGCTCTTGTCTTCTGTGCGATGGTCTTGCGATCCTCTGAAAATCGCACACGTCCACGTCGTCGAAAACATCGCTCTGCGCAGTGTTCTCCTGCGAAAACAGCGTTCGAAAAGCAAGCACTTTCTTGGGTGCCATGCGCGCGTCTCGAAAACATCGCAGTGTTTTCGCGCTCGCGAGCACCGAACCCATGCTGGCGGTGATGATTTTTGGCAATGGTCAAAACGCGTCCCGCGAATGCAACACGCAAAAAACCATAAGTTTTTTTCGCGTTTTCTTGTCTCCGACTGCAACGAGACCCGCGCAAAACGCGCGGGGCCGCAAGCAAGGGCGTTACCTGGTTAAGGCATATTCCTTATTGATTCAGGAAGCATTGGGCTCTCCGGGTTGCAAGAGTCTTGATGTTCAGCTTGCCCGGCTCTTCGCAAGCCTAAACCTTGACCTCCAAACAGCCCTAAACCCTTTCAACCCTGAAGGGTGCGCCAATTAAAATCGCATGGAGGTGAGATTCGATTCCCGAAGCTCCATGCCCAAAAAAACGCATGTCGGTCAAATTCGATTCCCTAAGTTCCGTGCCAAAACAAAAACGCATGGAGGTGAGATTCGACTCTTTGGATGTTGCCGTCCAAGCAAGGCCGTGGTAGCCCCCACTGCCTGCTGGGCGCCGGTGGAGCGGTGCAGGAGTGCTGGCGCGCTGTGTCCCCAGAATTAATCCCTAAACCCTAAACCATCGATGCATTGCCGGCCTTGTGCGAGTGTGAGAGTCGAAACCATGAACTTAAACCCTAAACCGATTGATTTCTAGAATGTGCCTTGGTGTGGGCGTCTCTGTTTTCCAGCTGTCGATTGAAGGGCTCGTGTCTGGGCGTAGCGCGGCGTGTTGTTTGGAGGAGTGCTGGAGGGAGTCAGGGTTTAGGGTTTAGGGTTTAGGGTTTAGGGTTTAGGGTTTAGGGTTTAGAGATTTGGGGCCTAAGGTCGGTCCCTCTTTAGTCCTGCCTTGTTGGGCGTCCCGCCTGGGCTCCACACCCTTTCTGGGGGGGTTGCACCCTAAACCCTAAACCCGTAAACCCTAAACCCCAAAAGGTTGCACGGAAGTGAGCCGCAGGACAAGGATTTGAACGCGCTGCGCAAGGCGGCGGCCACTCTACGGCAGGCATCGCCATTCAAGATCTATGTGCGGGTTTCCGACATTGTTGGGTTCTTACTACTTATTTGGGGTCTCTACTAGGGCCCCTTATCTTCGTAAACGGCAAGCTGGGTTGGATGTTGTTTACGATACAACCCTCATATTGTGACTTAGCTTAAGATTCTAAACAGGTATCCAGGCCATTGTGCATAGATAAACCGTGCGTGCGAATCTTGCGCACTCACCCTACACCGAACGAGCCTTGCAATCAAGGCAGCTTGGCACTGTCTCTCGCATCCGAATTCCGTTGTGATTCGCCAGTAGTCCCCCCGCCTCTCACCCTAAACCCTAAACCCTAAGCCCTAAAAGGCTGAAGAGGCATCGAAGCCGCGCAAGGCCTGTGCTGAGACTGGCAAACAGCCTTCGATATCAGCCAGCGTCGCCAAGGGCGAAGCAATGAGGATCTTACCTGACACCCTCCCATCTTAACCCTAGCTAAAGCCCCAAATCACTTTATAAAGTTATAACAAGATAACAACTATAGTAGTACAAGAATATAACAACATAACAATATAGCAAACAGCTAGTATGATCCTATGAGAACGGAATACTAGAATAAGAGAACACTAGACTAAAAGGAAAGTATATTGATACGAAAGTATAGTAATATGTACAGATAACAGGGTACTGTACTGGAATACTAGAATACTAGTATAGCAGACTAAAATAAATTAGTAATATAACACAGTATTAAGATAATACAAAGCATACTTATAGAAAAAAATGTCCTGAAATAACACAATATACTAAACCCTAAAAGCCTAAACCCTAAACCCTTAGAATAGCTGCAGGCCTCACAGGCACACCGCGCCTCACCACCCTGCCCTGGTGCCACGCCGACCGCGCCGGCGGCGTTCACATTCCGGCGGAGCATCCTGGTCTACCCAGACCCTCGGTGGGTTTAGGGTTTAGGGTTTTAGGGTTTAGGGTTTAGGGTTTATATTTTCAACGAGCTTGCGGGGCCCCTTTACTCTAAGAGTTCAGGTGCAAGTTCCTTTGAGGGCATTGGGCGGGCCCTCTCTGAGAACTGGAACTGTGACCCAGAGAGCCCAATGCCCCTGAAGCAAGGGTTTAGGGTTTAGGTTTTAGGGTTTAGGGTGCATAAGCCTTGAATCATACGAAGGATCCCATTATGACATAGGGTCTATTCCTGAATTAAGGAATGTACCTTGAATCATACTAAGGATCCCAGTATGACATAAGGTCTATTCCTGAATTAAAGAAAATACCTTGAATCATACTAAGGATCCCATTATGATATAAGGTCTATTCCTGAATTAAGGAATATTCCTTGAATCATACTAAGGACCCCATCATGATATAAGGTCGATTCCTTAGTTAAGTCGTTTTGGGCTCTTTGGGAATTGTCGCAGCCATCGGCACAAGAAGCGGACTGCCATGCCATAAGCATCTTCTAAGCCGGACCCAACCAAGGCCTGTATTTAGGGTTTAAGGGCTTCGCGGGCTCTACTTGGAGGCTCATGGGGGAGTTGTAAGCATGGTCATGAGTACGTACCCTAAAATAGGCTTATAAGTAACCCTAAACCCTAAACCCTAAACCCTAAACCCTAAACCCTAAACCCTAAACCCTAAACCCTAAACCCCCCTCCCCCCCCTCGGCCCGCCCATGTTATCAGGGATCGTTGTCTGCAATGCTCCCAGGAGGAGATGATGTTTTTCATGGTGAGGTGCGGCGAGCAAAAGGGCGTGCTGCAGACTGCGCACTCACGAACCCGCATGAAGCAATGATGCACGTGTGTGCATCTTCGTGTCTCATGTCCGCGTGCTTTTGGCACAGATAGAGCATAGAGAAGGATAGTCCAGCAGGTGAAGAATGCCAACAGTTCCAAGTCCTCGGCCCAGCTGATGTAACCGTAGATGGCCATCCGCCCGATGTATTTTGGAGATGAGACGCCCCTGACTTTGCCCCACAGAGCACCCAAGAAGCGCAAGAAACCCCACAGAGAGGCACGCATAGTTAGACGTCCCAACCCTAAACCCGAAACCCTAAACCCTTGTGCGGCTTCACTGGCGGCAGTCCTTGCGGCATTCATGGGGTCATGGCCACGGAGTGACCAAGGCTTCAGCCCTCAAAGGTTTAGGGTTTAGGGTTTTGGTGCCCCCAGAATCAAGAATCGAAGTAGGGTCGGCAGGGTTTAGGCTGTAGGGCTTGAAATTTCTGGGTCTATGAGTCTTATCTCACAGAGAGTTGCTTGCTTTCTTTTCACGAGTATGCCTCTCACAACTTTCGGAACGTTCTGTCATCTGGAACACGATAGTTCTGTCCAGTCGAAGGCTTCTAGAGCTCTGATTGAGGGAACTTACCGGGTGAAGTCGCAGAATGCTCAGAGCAAGAGGGTTCGGACTTTGGGGATCGATTTGAGCACTTCTTGCTGGGCTCTTCTGGGTCCTGTTTCGACCAGAGGATGGGGACGAGTGAGGGTTTAGAGTTTAGGGTTTAGGGTTTAGGGTTTAGGGTTCCCCTACCCCCCCCCCCCCCACACAGGTCCCAAGATCAGGAGATACTCAGAGATGATGTAAACATTTGTTTTCCCCCTTAAGTGTTCCTGTACATATAACCCTACTATATAACTCTACTTGGGGTACTTATATCACTACTTATGACCATTCACGAACCTCCAAAGTAGGTAGGGCCGCCTGCAAGGTGTCCCCCCCGCTGGCGGAGTCGTGCATTCCGGTCGCAGCGGCCGCATAGCCAGGCAGGGCAGAAGACGCTGTCCCCTAAACCCTAAACCCTAAACCCTAAACCCTAAACCCTGAACCCTGAACCCTGAACCCTGAACCCTGAACCCTGAACCCCGATGCTGCCTGTGCTGCTGGCAGTTCTGGGCTCGCAAAAGGCCCGATACCTCAAACCGTATTGTTCTTTCCTTGGCAGCTCCCTCCTAGCCCTGGGGGCTTAGGGTTTATAAGGCTTACCGCCCCCTCTCTCTCTTTTTGCTGTCCGTGGTTCTCCCTGCACAGCTCCAGGGCTTCCGCTGCCTTTAGCGGCTCCGTGCCCGCCCCTCCTCCATGGGTTTAGGGTTTAGGGTTTAGGGTTTAGGGTTGTAGGAGTCCAGATGCAAAAGGGTTTAGGGTTGTAGGATTGTAGGGTTTAGGGTTTAGGATTCCCCCTCATTCCCGGGCCACCCCCAACCGGCCCCATCCCCCAGCCGTCCCACGGTCCGACCGGCAGGCTGCTTGGCGGAAGTGCTTCGGGGTGTAGGTTTAGGGGCACAAAGTCTGGGTGGGCTGTTACATGATTCATGTTGAAGGCTACAAAGAAGGAGGCAGGGAAATGTTGGAGTTTGCTATTCCTTCCGGTGTTTCCTCAGTGGGCTGGCGAACGCGGAAGGTCGATAATGAGGTCTCCTGGCAAGCCGCCTTGGTTTTTCTTGCCGGAGCTGCAGTTCTTAGTTTGGCAACCCCTAAAGGTTGTACCCTTGGTTATTGGGACCCTTTTTGAAAGATCCTCTACAAAAACATAAGGGCCATGTTTCGGGGTACATCCGAAAAAGGGAATATAAGAGCCACGTTAGGTGTAGATTCAGGGAACCTCTTAAGGGGTACATCCTGAGGGTCCGAGTATGACTTTTCTGGGTGCTGTCCAAGGAGTCGACATGGCGAAGGCAACTGCGCTGTGGTTCTTCGGCTATCGCAAGTGCGACGCTGGGGTGCAGAAGGCATGGTGCGAGAATAGCATCTGGGTGTTAAGCCCAAAGCACTAAACCCTAAACCCCAAACCCTAAACCCAAACCCTAAACCCCAAACCCTAGAGCTTAGAGCAGCGGACACCAGAAGGCAACAAGCACGAAGCCGATGTCGGAGAGAAGAAGATGCCTCTGCGGTTTAGGGTTTGCGGTTTAGGGGTTTAGGGGTTTAGGGGTTTAGGGGTTTAGGTGTTTAGGGTTTAGGGTTTAGGGTTTAGGGTTTGGGGTTTGGGGTTTGGGGTTTGGGGTTTGGGGTTTGGGGTAGGGCATTCCCCACCCAGCCCAGATGGAAAAAGGCCTCCCTTGCCTGGAGGTTCATAGGTAGTCATAACTAGGGTTATACAGTACCCTAAATAGGGTATTGTAAGTATAGGGGTTGTAAGTATAGTTGCCATACTTATCGCCCTACACCTGGTGCTACCCGTGAACCTCCAAGCGATGTCCGTGCTGAACAGCTATTAGGCAGGACAATTTGCTCGCTGCGTTGTTGTCCTTCATGATCTGCATTAGTCAGCTTTCATTCTCATTCTGTTGAGTTGGCGCCTGGATTTTGACTTTTAGTTGTCAGCGGCATGCCCGTCTACACATGTCCAGCTGCTCTCTGCTCTTTCTCTGGCATGCAAGCTGGAGAGCCACGTCAGGTGTTGTTACCCGAAACCCTAAACCCCAAACCCTAACTCATGTTTAGAAAACCGGCGGGGATCCTTGGACCGCCTTAAAGCGGCCAAGGAAAGCTGCCAAGAATACAGCAATTCTGGGTGGTTCGATGCAGAGGACGTGTGGTATTGAGGCTCAGCTGCAGTTTGCCACTTGTAGGGTTTAGGGTTTAGGGTTTAGGGTTTAGGGTTTAGGGTTTAGGGTTTAGGGCTACTTGGAGGTTCATGGGTAGTTTTCAGTAGGGCCTGTAGGGTACTTAGTATACCTACCATACGTATAACCCACTTATGACTCGGAGAGTCTGTCTTCCGCCGCTGTGGAACGCATGTTGATTCCTGAACAAACGTGGGGTTTTAGCAACACAGCTTTCTGGCAAAACCTTTGTTTCGCTCGTCAGTGCTGTCGCACAGGGGGCTGAAGAAGATGGAAAGAGTGCCCACTGCACTCCACCCCAACCAAGAAAACAGTACATTTCACTGATGAAAAGAGCCGAAGTGCAGTAAATACCGATGATTTTGCTCCAAGCCCTCCCCCCCCCCAGACTTGTTTTTCGCACGTCACTGCTGTCATGGTGTTCGAACAAGAAGGTCACTGCTTCAACAGTGTTTCGCAAGGGGCATGCCGAAGATGGAAACAGTGCCCCGCAACCCCCCCCCACCCCAACCCAGAAAGCAAATAGTCTTCGCCGTTCATAAGTGCCAAACGTGCTGTAAATATCGACGATTCCCCCCCTCCCCTCCGACAAATGCGTCGAATTTCGGCAGGAATTTGCAAACAATATGTTTTTGGCTTGCACGCAACCAAAACACCCCCCCCCCCCCCCCATCCCTAGCCCCACCCCACCCTCCCCTACCCTCCCCCAACCCCACCCACACCACCCCCACCCACCCACCCCCACCCACCCCACCCACCCCCACCCACCACTACCCACCACCACCCACCCATCGGCCAAGGCGAAGAGTGTCAGATGAACTGCGTCATCGACCTGTTCTCGGACGAGCCCGTGCCGGCCCCGACCTGAATTACTTTCTTTTAGTTTGTGGTCTCAGGGGGGTTTAGGGTTTAGGGCTAGGGTACTACGTAAGTACTACTTGTAGTTTCATGGGTAGTTCTAACAAGGCCTTAGAAGTATGGTAGCTATGCTTATGACCTTCTAACAGCTTGAAACTACCCATGAACAAGCCCTAAACCCTAGACCCTAGACCCTAAACGAACCCTACACTAACCCTCCAGTAAGTCCGTCAACCTCCCCCACCCACCTGGCCTTGGGATGTTGTGCATTTTCTTTCCTTTTGGGGTTGGGGTTTTAGGGGTTTAGGGGTTAGGGTTCAGGGTCTAGGGGTTAGGGGTTTAGGGTTTGGGGTTCGGGTTTTTTTGGTAACAAGTTTCAATATTTGCAAGCCCTTTTGACGTGGTAAGTTGGGGTTTGGGGATTCAAGGGCTTCAAGGATTGCTAGGGGATACTAAGAAGCCCTAAACCCCAAACCCGAAACCGACTTAACCAAGTCAAAAGGGCTTCCAAGTCGTGGCATCCGAGGCGGAGACGTGGCTCCGATGTGGCATCCGTCGTGCGACGTTGATGCAAGCATCCTCACCCTGGTTGTGGGGCTTAGGGTTTAGGGTTTCGGGTGGGGGGGGGGGTACCCCTTTCTCCTCAATATATACTTCGTAGCTGAGTAGGTAACCCTACCCAAAAGGGTAAACATAATCCTACAATCCTACCAAAATGGCAAAGTTAACCTTTTTTCTGGACCAAGGTACTCCGCAACTAGGTGTGGCGCACTCCCTTGTATGCGTCTAAGTTAGGGTACCCTCCCCCATATGATACGGCACCTTCTCAAAAAGGACCCCCCCCCCCCCACCACCCGCCCCCCACCCCCCCCAAAAGGCACCATAATTTAGAGAACTACCCGTATAATTAAGGAGCCCCAAAGACCGCCCCTAAACCTAAACCCTCGACCTTAACCCCTAAACCCTGCAGTGTGGCTTGTCTGCTTGGCGTGTGGCAAAAAACCCTACACATTGGGGGGGTGGGGGGGCTAAACCATGACCAGGTTCTGAATGGGTTATATGTTTGGCTTGCATACTTCGAACCCTATTTTGCGCCTTCTAACCCACTTCTCACTACCCATGAGCCTCCAAGTACCCCCCTCTCCCCCCCAAACCCTAAACCCTAAACCCCAAACCCCAAACCCCAAACCCCAAACCCTAAACCCCATCACCGGCATGCTCTCCCAGGTCAAGGAGCTACCAGCTCTAGCATCAACTCAGCTCCTGGTGTGCACCTGTGACGTGGACTCAAAAGGTTAAACGTGTTTGGTTTATATGGGCTGGTGGTCTCTTTAAGTTAAGTAGGGTTTCTGTTTTTTGGGGCATCTATTTGGGGTTCTTCTTAGGGCATCTAGGGGCTATGTTAAGGCTGTTAAGGTATAAGGGAACAGATAGAGGCCGCCGGCCTTTGCAATGTTTGGGGTTGAGGGTTGACCTACTGGTTCCTAGCAGGGAATGAGGGAATTAGATGGTTTAGGGTACATTCCTTACTGAAGAGATATTGGTTAGGGTTTAGGGCTTGGCCTCTATGTAGGTCTCCTGGCGTACAAGCAGGAAGGACGTCGGCTGAGGTTTCGGGTGTAGTTGAAGCTTTTCATGGGTAGTTCTAAGCCGAGATACAATTAACTACACTTAAAACCTTCTAACTACTCATGAGCTGCAAGCAAGCCCTGAAGCAGAAACCCGAAACCCTAAACCCTATCCCTAAACCCTAAACCTGAGCCCTAAACCCTTTTCAGGGTCCTCAAAACCCACTTAGAATTGCCCATGAACCTCCAGCTCGGGTTTGAGACCGCCGACGGGCTGCACAATGTTGAAGGCTCTGTGGTTCGCTTCGGGTTTATTAGGGTTTCGGGTTTAGGGTTTAGGGTTCAGGGTTTAGGGTTTAGGGTTTAGGGTTAGGGCACTTGAGAGAGACCTCGTTCCAAAAAAGGGTTTCTTAGGTCTAGGATTTAGGCTTTCTCTTCCTTCGCTTTTTTGCGCCCGAACCCTAAACCCTCAACCCTCAACCCTTAACCCTCAACCTTAAACCCTAAACCCTAAAAACCCCAAGAGTCCCTAGCCCCCCTGAAGCAGGTGAGCTGATGAAGGTCGGCGGCCATGCTCTTGGGACCGCACTGGGGAAGTAGGTTTAGGGTTTAGGGGGTAGGGTTTAGCGTTTAGGGTTTAGGGTTTAGGCAGGGTTTAGGGTTTAGGGTTTAGGGTTTAGGGTTTAGGGTTTAGGGGAAGCAGGTTGAGGTTTTCGGCTTAGCAAGTCTCTTGTGAAAGACCCTTTCAGAAACCTGCAGCCCCAGCCCTAAACCCCAAATCCTAAACGCACAAATCGAGAAGTGTGCTAAACCCTAAACCAACATGCGGGGACCCTACACCCTAAACCCGAAGACCTCTTCCTCAGATGGAGCACCAACCCTGAAGCTTCACACACCAAATGCGATGCCTGAAGCCCTACCTCGCAAAGACCTTAATCCTAGTAGTAGTAGTAGTAGTAGTAGTAGTAGTAGTAGTAGTAGTAGTAGTAGTAGTAGTAGTAGTAGTAGTAGTAGTAGTAGTAGTAGTAGTAGTAGTAGGTAGTAGTTAGTAGTAGTAGTTAGTAGTAGTAGTAGTCGTTAGTAGTAGTTAGTAGTAGTAGTAGTAGTAGTAGTAGTAGTAGTAGTAGTAGTAGTAGTAGTAGTAGTAGTAGTAGTAGTAGTAGTAGTAGTAGTAGTAGTAGAGTGGGAACCTTTTTGGGGTAGTAGAATCCCCTTATAATCCCAAAGGTTAGCCTTTAGTTCCCCCAGGCTACTGGACAACTAAGTTCAGGAACATGACTTGAACTACGGGCAGGGGGTCCGTCGTCTGATCTAAGGGATATTGCTGAATTCGGGGGTTTTGGGCTCTTTGGGGCTCTAAACCCTAGACCCTAGACCCTAGACCCTAGACCCTAAACCCTAAACCCTAAACCCTAAACCCTAAAGGGAGTTTTTTGGACTCCTTGGGGCCCCGACTCAGGCAGGCCTCTTCGGCGGCCGCCTCGTGCTTGCAGGAACTGGCAGAGCCCTCGGCTCCTTGTGGTCCCACCTGCAAGGACCCAGGGTTTGGGAGTTGGGGTTTAGGTCCCTAGCCCTAAACCCTAAACCCTGAACCCTGAACCCTGAACCCTGAACCCTAAACCCTAAACCCTTGCGCGGCCAGGGGAGAGCAATTTGTCAGCCTCCTATCTTGGATACAAAGGCAAGCAGCATCACACAAGCCCCCCCCCCCCCAGCTGGCAGAAGCAAGCCAGCATGGATCAACAAGACAGCCCGCTTCACAGACGCCAAGCGCTTCCTCACATGATCGCTCATGAAGGTACTGAACCGGGGACGCCGGCACGAAGCAGAGACTTCTTCACGTTGCTGCCAGAAAAATGGGGCCTGCCACCAACCATGGCCCCAACAAATGCCTTTCCGCGTGGTGTGGCAGTAACGACGTTTGTTGCGAAACAGTTTTTGTGATTCCTTTGATCCCTTCGATCAGGTCCTTCATGATTTCTTTGAACGCTTTTGTGGAGATGTTGCTTGGGATGATGTTGCTAGGACCCCCCTTCTCATTTTTCACTCAACTCCTTCCAGCACTCTATTGAACTATTGTTCGTTTAGTGTGAAAACACGAGCTGCGCGCAACCCCCCAACAACCCCCTACAAATCCTGATGAACCCCTTCGTATATCCCTACTACAAGCCCCTCAAAACCCTTCCAAATACAAACAAAAACACCCATAAACCCCTCCAAATCCTGACAAGCCCCTCCTAAACCCTAAACCCCAAACCCTAAACCCTAATCCCTAAACCCCAAACCCTAAACCCTAAACCCTAAACCCCAAGCCCTAAAACCCTAAGCCCCAAGCCCTAAACCCTAAACCCTGAACACCCCGAAGAAGCCGATGTGCGAGGAGGTCAGAGCCCCCGGAGCTTGCGAGCCGACCCGGCCAAGGCTGGGGTCTCCTTGAGGGTTTCGGGTTTACGGGTTGAGGGGTTGAGGGTTTAGGGTTTAGGGGTTTAAGGTTTAGGGTTTAGGGGTTTAGGGGTTTAGGGGTTTAGGGGTTTAGGGGTTTAGGGGTTTAGGGGTTTAGGGGTTTAGGGGTTTAGGGGTTTAGGGTTTAGGGCTACCAGGTGGACGAGCCTAACAAATACAACCACAAAAGGGACAACGCCGCTGAATATCTGATATTGATAGCGCAGTAAGAAATTGAGAGATAAATCTTAGCTGATACTGATGTTTGGTTTAGGGTTTAGGGTTTAGGGTACTAGGCTTATGGCAACATTGCTTCCGCTTGGTTGTTCGCGCCAGCTCAATGCCAAGACGAGAAATGTTTATGCTAATAAACTCAACAACAGAGATATTAAATTTCCGAAGAAAGCGACAGTAGAATGTTATGAGATTAAATACGATGGCGCACGAGAGCATATTGAACGTTGTATTCAACAAACCCATATTTTGCAAACACCATTTAAAGAAGTAGGGACTTATACATTACTGGGTCCTTGTTGGCTTTACTTTTGCATTCTTGTTATGATAAACACCCAATAAGGATTAACAGTGATAACTTTTAATGTAACCCCAACAAGGACCCAGATGAATGATCGAAGCTTCTGGAAATAACTAAAATCAATAAAAGACCGGACCTAAACTTGATAAAGTTTTGGACGCCTCAACTGGTGTGCCATATATTGAAAACAACTGCAAAACCCTAAACCCTAAACCCCAAACCCTAATGTAAGAGATGGAAACATGTTTGTTGAACTTGTGGATGCGAGGACATTAGACATTCTGAGAAGGCAGGAATCAAAGAAAGTCGAAAACAAACAGCCGAAGGAAATGGCACACCTTCATACAACAATGAACGGATAAGCCTAATTAACAGCATTGAACAAATTGATGTTAGTAAAATCCGACGCGGGCGTCATTTCCGAGTTCACGGTTTAAGTCTGTTTTTTCTATTGGGGAGTAATTTCCCAGTTCGGGTTAGGATATTCGGTGTAGAATGGGTGAGCATAACATCCCCCATCCTGCTTCCCCTTGTTTGGGGGGGGGGGGGGGGGGTCGATAATGCAAATTGCAAACGGGGGGGGGGGGGGGAGGAGGGAGGGGGGGGGGGGGAGGAGGGGGGGGGGGGTGTTAAATGCAATGCACATGGGGCGACGTGCCTGGCTCTGTGCTGCAAAGCCTGCCATGTAGGTCCAATGTGTCATGGTTGCAGGATCACTCTTCAAGGATTTTGCATTGAGCAGCAAGTCCATCAAAGGCCATGTCTCCTTGATGGTGCCAGCCATATGGGTCTCCATGACATTAGCCTTCTGGCCCGGGCAAGATGATGAGCACAGCAAATCTGATTGGGCCACTTTTGCGAGGGACGGTTGAAACACATTGTTTTTAGGGCCTTAGTCCACGGGACTTTGTCTCTGAATTTGTTTTGCCTTTTTTGGCTTAAGTCCGCTGGACTTAAGCCCCCACTGCAAATAATGATTGCGCTGCTTGCATGTATTTGGGAAAGTTTCTGGGGCTTAAGTCCACTGGACTTACATCCCCACGGAAATTGTGTCTTTATGTTGGCGTTCTGGTTTGGGCTTAAGTCCGGCGGACTTAAGCCTCCGGAGGTGGTGCACGTCCATGGGGGGCATCAATTTGCTAGACATATCACCATCAAATTGGCTGGCAAACATACGTGCGGCACGTCTTTTGGCTTAAGTCCGCCGGACTTAAGCCAAAACTTGTTGGCCTCAAAAATGGAGATCAAATGTCACTGAAGCATCCACTGGGCTTTTGCTGGTCTGGAACTTGAAAGCTGTCACATAACTGCCTTAAACGAATTTGCACAAGGTTCAATCCGCAACTGGTTGCGAATTGAACCCTGTGCAGAAACATGCATAAACAAGAGAAGAACTCATGTTGGAAATGATGGGGCGTGCGCAAGGTTCAATCCGCAACTGGTTGCGAATTGAACCGCGCGAGGAAACAAGAGAATATTTCATCTTGGAAGCAAGTCAAGGCTGGGCCGTGCCGACATGCTGGCTGTAGCACTTTCACCCATTTTCACCCTCTGACGTTGGGAAGTTCTCAATTGCATTTTTCCGTCGAGGCATGCTGAAACGACGTCCGAAAATGCGGATTGCACTTTTCAACCCCCCCCCCCCCTCGCGGACATGGGGGATAGCATAACCTGGGTAAAAGAATCGAGATGGTTGGGGTTTTGGTTGTTGGTTCTGATTTAGGGTCTGTGGTGCGAGGCGGGTCTTAAATCTTAGGACGCTGTTTTAGAATGGTGGCAAAAGCGTAGGTTGGGGGTCAGGGTGTGTGCGTATGATGAACTGGGAAATGACCTTCGTTAGCCAGAATGTGGTTTGCGGCGGCTTGTCTTCTGTTTGATTCAGAACCCCAAAAGAAAAAACATAACAATCCCTATGTTACCCCGAATAAGGAAGAATCAGATTTTTTTTTGGGGGAGGGGGTTCTTAAGCAACTACTGGTTGTGGGGTAGGAGAACCCCCGCTCGGCCTCTTCTTCCTCCACTTTGTAGCTATCTTACCCGACCCTCCAAGTCTTCCCTAAACCCTAAACCCTAAACCCTAAACCTTAAACCCCTCTTTGGCCCGGTCCCCAACCAGAGTCAGGCTTCCAGTGGGTTTGTATGTTTCGGTGGTTTAGGGTTTAGGGTTTAGGGTTTAAGGTTTAGGGTTTAAGGTTCAGGGTTTAGGGTTTAGGGTTTAGGGACTTAGAGGCTTAGAGGGTTCACGGCGTCAAGGTTTTTTTGGATTTAGGGCTTAGGGTGGGAACTCAGCTGCTAGGAAGGAAGGCAGCAATAAAATCCGCAAGGCCTACGCCCTTTGAGAGTCGTCACGCCGATCCCTGTATAAGTTGAGGGCCTATTCCTTAAATCCCTACACCCCCTAAACCCTAAACCCTAAACCCTAAACCCTAAACCAACCCCCGATACTTGCTACGTCGCGGACAATTCGAAGTGGGGCTTCTGCAGGAATGGCTGCCTGGGCTTGGGTTTGGAGACCTGGGGCAAACGGGTTTTAAGGGTTTAGGGCTGAGGATTTAGGGTTTAGGGTTTAGGGTGCCAAAGGGGTTCAGGGCTATGGCTTCGGATGCTTCAGTATCTGACCTTGGAGTCATACATGGACACCCTAACTAAATTAAGGTCCCGATCCCCAGAAGATGGACCCTATGAGTATCGCATGCGTAGGTCTCTAAATTCGGCTCCTTTCTTGGGCTCGCCCATATAAACTGCACCACCCCCAAAAAAAAGAAGCGGACCCAAAAGGGCCCACTTTAGAGAATCTTGACATGCCTACCGTGAAATCTTCTCTTTGGAGTAGTTTGGGGTAGCCCAAGGAACCCTTTCTACAGTCTCGCAGGATACAAGCCCTACAAGCCCTAAACCTATAGACACTACAGAGCCTTAAACCCTGAACCCACGTAGGCTTCGCAAAGCCCCAAACACTAAGTCCTAAACCCTCAACCCGAAACCCTTCCCAGGTAGATGCCGCCGCCACCGCCGCCACCGAGGCCGCCTTTGCGGAGCCCTGGGTGGTGGTGGTCGATCCCAGCCGCATGGTTGCGACGCAAGAAAAGCCCTCAAAAGACCTTAAGCCTCCGCAAGGGTTTAGGGTTTAGGGTTTAGGGTTTAGGGTTTGGGGTTAAGGGTTTAGGGTTCGCTGTAAATGGGCATAGAGGCTGTGAAGGTTAGGATGCAGCAGAGGCTCGAAAGCCTCGTCAGGTGCGAAGAGCAGCTCTGGCCCGATTGTGGAAGGCCATCAAAAAACCATTCTCCCACCCCACGCCGTCCAAGGCGGCAAAGCCAACCTATTCCCTTTAGGGTTCAGGCTTCAAAGGCTTAAACTCAAAACAATTGCTTACTTGAAAGAAATCGTTTTCCGTCACCAATATTCGCTTTGCAGCCAAGGGGAAGGTTCCAGTGCAGGGACTCCCAGAAAGGTCACAAGGTTTGGGAAGGGGGAGGGGGTCTCAGTGTTCAGGAGGTCCCAGGCGCGTCTTAGGTGGGTCCCAGGGCGTCCCAGGGGGGTCCAAGGGGGTCCCAAGAGGGGTTCCAGCAGAGGTTTCAAGGGGTCCCAGAGAAGTGCTCCAATACGGGCCCATCTGGGTGCTACCGACCTCCGAGCTGTGGGAGGCGGGCGAACGACCTGGGTCGTTGAGGTCGAGGGGCTTTGTTTAGGGTTTAGGGTGTTTGGGGTGTTTTGGGGTTTCGGGTCTAGGTGGGCCTAAAATTAAGCCCTAAGCCCTCAACCACAGGCGGATCCGTGTCCTTCGAGATTGGAGTCCTGAAGTGCAGAAACGTTTGCAGACATCCACCCCACCCCCGCAAGAGAGCCTGTCCACCTGCGATAAGGAATGCGCTTTGCTTCCTGAGTATGATTTTCATATATATATATATATTATAATATAAATAAATATGTCTATATAATAATATATATATATATATGTATATTCTATACTTGAAGATTTCTTGAAGGTACATGCTGCAGTTTAGAAATATTGGGCCGAAGCCCAAGCCCTACAAAAGCCTGAATAAGGGCATCGGGATCTCTGCTGCGTAAACCTAAGACCCAAACCGCTAAACCTTATATGGGTTGGTGGTCTCTTTAAGTAGGGTTTCTGTTTTATCGGGCTTGTCTGGGGGAGCTACAAGGGTAGCAGATAAAGGGGCCACCGGCCTTTATAACCTTCAGCCAATGAAGCCCTACACCCTAAACCCTAAACCCTCAACCCTCAACCCTCAACCCGAAACCCTAAACCCTAAACCCTAAACCCTAAACCCTAAACCCTAAACCCTAAACCCTAAACCCTAAACCCTAAACCCTAAACCCTAAACCCTAAACCCTAAACCCTAAACCCTAAACCCTAAACCCTAAACCCTACCCTAAGCCACATTGGTCTCTCCCCAAAGCTTGGACGAGGGCTCGGCTGCTTCGTGCCCGGGGACCCGGTGGAAGTCTTGGATGGCAAGAAAGGACCGCCCCACACGGCCGTTGGGTTCGGGGTTTGGGGTTTGGGTTAGGGTTTAGGGTTGAGGGTTTAGGGTTTAGGGGCTTGAGACACTAAAAAGGGTTTATATAGGGTGTAGTTTTGGCTTCCGGGGTCCAGAAAAGCGTCAGAGAGTCTTGATAGTAGATTTTGGTGCAGGGTCGCGAGTTGGACCGAGCTGGGCGAACGCAAGCTTGTCGTAAATGGGTCCGTCACAGTGATCCCTGGGCTTTGGAGTGTTGCATCCCCCAATCATTGACTTCATCTCTGTAAAGCCAGCTGAAAACGAAGCCTGCAACCCAGAGACCTATGCTGGAATCAGCTCTCTGTCATCCGACCTCGTAGCCGGCTCGCCAAGCATGGCATCAAGCATCTGGTCAGGAGTCACTTCATCTGCTCGTTTCTGTTTTGATGGGCTCTCGTTGCCAGAAAAATCAGAGACGTCATCATGGCTACGGAGAACCCTTGTTATGACTGCCCATGCACCTCCAAGTAGGGTGAAGCCTCCTAAACTCCAAACCGCAACTGATCCACGTGATCCCCGAGTAGACAGCTTGACAGAGAAGCCTTCTCTATCAGTTTGTCATCTCTCGCGCGAGCTTGCGAGCACGAAACAAAATCTTAAGCGCAGTGTCATCGTGCGTCAGAACCAGCAATTGTTGTTGTTATTATTATTGTTAGTAGTTATTATTATTACTACTAAATCATTATTATTATTATTATTACTACTTCAGTATTATTATAATTAAAAGGAGTTGCTCCGACCTCCGTGGCCACTGCCACGAGGTTGACCCAAACGCGCAGTGTCACGGAGCATGCTTTGGCCATGTCCATCCATGACAATGCCGTTGCTCTCATAACGACACGACACAAGGCCGTTTCGCGCACAGAGCCTGCGCTTTCCTTGTTCACTATGCCCGAAACTGGTCCCAGACTCGGGGTGTTGTGACCCCATGTTGCGTGCGTCTGCAGCAGCAGGGACACTATCCTGTGCAATACGCACCTTGTGAGTCCAAGGCCTCGCTGTTTTCTTGCTACGCGTACCGCTGCATCCTTCGCAGTGTTTCTCAAGATGCTGGGCGACGCGCTCTGTCTCCGTGGCCGGACTGTCTCAATTGTGTCGGACGAGACGGTTTCTCGCGTTCGAAGACTAGTTAAGCGGTTTCATAGGCTTGGTTTTGCATTCCTCGGCGTTGTACGAGTAGAGTCTGCCAGCGGGCTTGGGGCTTAGGGCCCTAAACCCCTCAATCGACTAGGAAATGCTCCTTAGTTCGTGGTCAGGTCCTTAACTCGCTAGTACTGGTGCTTGGGGAGTGAAGCCGCTGGAACTGGCAGACACACGCAGTCAAAGGTTGTAAGGTTTACTTGGAGGTTCATGGGTAGTTTTTACAGTAATGCTATACCTATGTCAACTAGACAGACTTGCGTGCCTTTAGTTGAAGTACTTGTGACCCTAAACCCTAAACCCTAACCCTAAACCCTAAACCCTAAACCCTAAACCCTAAACCCTAAACCCTAAACCCTAAACCCTAAACCCTCCCTTTTTTGCAGCCGGGGCTCAGATGGACCCAGTGATGCCAGGCATACTGCTTCGCGTGATTGCGGCAACACCCCGAAGCCCCAAGTCCTTGCAACCTTAAGGGTTTAGGGTTTAGGGTTTAGGGTTTAGGGTTTAGGGTTTAGGGTTTAGGGAATCAGAAGCTTAGCAGCCCAGTGGCACCAACTACCCCTGCAGTTTTTGTTTCAAGGTTCCCTTATAAAGTAGCCGGCCCCAAAAACGGTGCCCTTGTTTTCGTATGGTTACTGGGCTACCAGGAAGCAGAAGTTTGGGTTTTCTGGAGCCCTAAACCCTAAACCCTAAACCCTAAACCCTAAACCCTAAACCCTAAACCCTAAACCCTAAACCCTAAACCCTAAACCCCCTTCAGCCGCAGAGGATGGCGGGGCGTGGTGAGCGGCAAGGCAGGCGAAGGCCGCGACTCGCAACGCAGGGTTTAGGGTTTAGGGTTTAGGGTTTAGGGTTTCTGGAGAGTTTCGGGTTTAGGGTTTAGGGACTTTCCCGACTTATACTAACAGTCCTTTAATAGGGGCGGGGGGGGTTACTATAATCCCTATCAAGGACCGTTAGGATAAGGGGGAACATCCCAAGTTTGGGGTTTTGTAGAGAGTTTCGGGTTTAGGGTTTGTGGGGAGTATGGGTTTAAGGGTTTGTAGAATTTAGGGTTGGGGTTTAGGGTTTAGGGTTTAGGGTTTAGGGTTTAGGGTTTAGGGTTTAGGGTTTAGGGTTTAGGGTTTGAGGCTTGTAGAGCTTGGGGCGGCTTAGGTTTTGTGGTTTGTGAATGTCAGGAATTATGATGGACTCCAGCATCATCTGACGGGATCTTTAAAGTCACAGAGTCACAGAGCACACGGGCGTTGGTCGACATTGCGGGGCACGTTTGGGCCTGCCTGGCCCAGTTTATCCTCAGACGCTGAGCCCGAAACCCCTAAAAGAGGCCCAAACCCTGAACACTTCACTACTAATTGCTTAAGAACTCCGGAAAAATGCAAAATATTATTCCTTATTTGGGGTGATATAGGGATGATTACTTTTCATTTTTTGGGGATTCTTAAGCAAACAGCAGTTTATGATCTCAATTCCCTAAACCCGAAACCCGAAACCCTAAACCCTAAACCCTAAACCCTAAGCCCTAAACCCTAAACCCTAAACCCTAAACCCTAAACCCTAAACACTCCATCTCAATTGTTTCGATGAGCCCCCCACATGCAGGAAGCTACTTTGTGGAGGATCAGAGCCGCAAGCTGCACAACGTGGGGGCGCCCGTTGCTTGCTATTGGGTCGGGGTTTAGGGTTTAGGGTGTAGGGTTTAGGGTTTAGGGTTTAGGGTTTAGGGTTTAGGGTTTAGGGTTTAGGGTTTAGGGCTTCTCGCCGCGGCTGTAGATTTCATGCGGAGATGGTTGCCCAACACACCCAGAAAGTGTGTGAGGGGCGGCATATGTCGCGGCGGCGTATATTGAAGTTGGAGCCACCACAACCAGAAAGGTTGGGTTGTTCTATTTTTCCCACCCCCTGCTTACGCAGGCATGCACCCAACTTTTCTCCCTTTGGGGTTTCGGGCTTAACGCCCTAAATTCCCACTTCCATGCTGTCATCCTGTTAGGGTTTAGGATTTAGGGTTTAGGGTTTAAGCTCCCTGAACCTCAAGCCTTGGATCTTAAACCTTACACCCTAAACCCTTGAACCCTGCAGCCCTCACCCTTCAACCCTAAACACACAAACCCTTCAGCCCGTCCGCAGACAGCATGCATAAGCCCTTCAACCCTAAACCCTAATCCTAAACCCTAAACCCTAGCCCTAAACCCTCAAACCCCTAAACCCTAAACCCTAGCCCTAAACCCTCAAACCCCTAAACCCGTAACCCCCCCCCCACACCCTAAACCCGAAAACCCTCTCAACAAGGTGGCAGCGGAGAGGCTGAGAGTGGACGAGCTCGTCGCGCCAGCCCTGTGAGTCGAAGCTGGGTATAGACTTTTACAGTACAGATTAGGGTCATAGGGTTTAGGGTTTAGGGTTTAGGGTTGAGCAGCGGAGGAGTAGGACACGGACGTGATTTGGCACCCAAGCATTCCCAGAGAGCCCAGCACCCTTCGAAAGCAGTTCAGATTTACTCAGAATAAGGATCCTTACACCCTAAACCCTAACCCATAAAACCCTAAACCCTAAACCCTAAATGGGTTAAAGTGTACTCATTCCCGAATTTAGGGCATTGGGCTCTCTGGGTTGCTCAGGCGTTTCGTGAAGAGCTTGAGAGACATCAACCAGCCTTCACAACAAGGTAGAGCAAAGGCCACCCTAAACCCTAAACCCTATACCCTAAACCCCATCATGTCTCCAAAAGGCTAGGCCCGGGAATCGAGGATCTAAAGTAGTAGAGTTTTTTTATTGGGGGGGGGTTACCTTCATCTGTAAATTTTCATCATTGTGCATAAATCTTCCTGGAATACTTTTATTGTTGAGCTAAACCTACTAGGGGCTGCAGCGCCACGTGCTTGGCATGGTGGAGTATGTACCGGATGTATGGCTTCTTGTCACGGTGAGAGCAGGAATGGACAGCGTAACTTGAGACGAGCGTACTACTCCTTGATTGGCTTAGGGTTTAGGCTTTAGGCTTTGGGGTTTAGGGTTAGGGTTTAGGGATATACCTACATCATAGGAAGGACCACTAGATGGTTTGAGGTGCAACCCTAAAACTCAGGAGTATCGTGCTCTCTGGTTGTTGAAGGATCAACTTGTGTGCGTGTGGCTGGCGACAGCTTCATGCGGCTTTAACATCAAGCCACCGTGGATGATGCAGAATGCATGGTGGGCTTGATCGCCACATTTGAAGCTTCTGAAGCACTTTGGCAGCCTTGGATGCCACCAAAGACCCCTTTCGAAGTACGACATGTATGTCACATGTGCCTCCTTCTGCTTGCAAGAACAGCCTCCTGTGAAAGATAAGCTTGAGCACTGCAGCGTAAACCCTCGACCTTAAACCCGACACTCTGCACCCTAAACCCTAAACCGTAGACCCCAAACCCTAAACCGCAAAGCCTTGGCTTCCTATTGTGCTGCAAGCCATGATTGTACAGAGCATCACAACATGTCTTGTGGAAGTTCACACGCTGGGATATTGTGCAGATGTCCTAGGAGTGTTTCAAAACCCCGTCCGCGTGCATCGGAGAGGCTGTCTTCATGAACCCTAAACCCTAACCCTAAACCCTAAACCCGAACCCTAATTCCTAAACCTTATATATCCTACAGTAAACGTTCCCGGCCCGTAGAGTGTTCCTTCAAGACATGTTCCCTGAAAGAGATCCTTATTTATGGGCGCAATGCTCCGCTTAGTTAATGAGTAAGTCGTAGTAAGTCTCTCGATATGGTTCAGGGTAAGGGGTGTTGGGCTCTGTGGGTACTCCTCACACTGCTCGGAGGCGAAAAGGGGTTTACAGTAACCCTAAACCCCTAAACCCCCAACCCCCAAACCTTAAACCCCAACCCTAAACAGTAGCCCTGAAGCCCTGAACCCCTAAACCCCTAAACCCCTAAGACCCTAAACCCCTAAGCCCCTAAGCCCCTAAGCCCCTAACCCCTAAACCCCTAAACCTCTAAACCCCTAAGCCCTGCCTAAACCCTAAACCCTAAACTATGTCTTTCTGAGCAGCTTTGACTGCAAGGCGTAGCTCCCTAGACTTGAAAGGGAGGAGCACCCTTTTACGCAGCTGGAGCAGCCTTTCCCTTGCAAAATGTTTCAGAGGTGTGTGGGGTTTAGGGTTTAGGGTTTAGGGTTTAGGCTTGCACGGCGTGGTGGGTCTAAGTTTCATTGTAGGGCATTTCCTCAACGACGCATGCTCTGAGGTAACCCGCTTGCCGTGAAAGCCAGTTGACTAGTGAACTGTTCAGTGGCATTTGCTGCGAATAGTGGCAACTTGAGCCCCAGTCTTGGCAGATGAGGAAGGAATTTTGGGGCCCACGGCCCAAGGAGCCCAATGCCCTGCTTTTAGGACTACAAGGTTTGGGGTTCAGGGTTCAGGGTTTCCTACACCATCTGCGGGCCCCTGATAAGGTTGCTTCTTTGGGTATATGCCTTCAAAGGGGTGCAGTGGGCTGCTGGGGAAGAGATGTACAAAGCAGAAGTGCTCAAGAGGTGAGTGGCGAGGCATCACGCACACAAGCGTGGAGTTGTGACAACGTCGAAACCACATCGCTCGATCCCTTAGCTTAGGAAACAGGGAACCCTAAACCCTAAACCCTAAACCCTGCATTACGGTTTTGCATGCAGATTCGGTGGATGCCTGAAGAACAGGGTATCGGGGTTTTTTGGAATTGAGTGGGCGTTCGATCCTCCTCCCCCCCCCCCCCCCCCCCCCCCCCCCCCCCCCCCCCCCCCCCCCCCCCCCCCTCCCCAAGTCCTGAATGCCATAGCAGTCCATGTTCAGACCTCATACTGAAACAATCTGAACAGAACCGCCCCGTCCAGGACTTAGGGTTTGGGGTTTGGGGTTTGGGGCTCAGGGTTCCTGACTCAAAAAGTGTCCCTAAACTCTAAACTCTAAACCCCTAAACCCTAAACCCTTGTTATAAGGGAAAATCCCTTCCCCCTTTTGCTAAACGCCCCCCTACTTATAAAAACACATTCCGGAAAATCCTCCCGAAACCGAGCCCGCCTTTTAAACACCATTCCGAATTAGGGGGGGGGGGGAGGTTCCGGCCAAAGCCTGTGTCTGAGCCTTGCTGTGCTGCCTGAGTGGAGCTCCCTCTCTACGCTCTCAGGGTTAGGTCATTAATTACTTCAACCATCTTCAACCCTACATGACATTTGGATAAAAACACCCCCCCGAATTGTAAAAAAAACACATTTCGGTTTCCTATTAGGGGGGGGGGGTGGCACACCCGTTTAATATTAGGGGGAAGGGATTAACTTGTAGCAAGTATTTCGCCAACACACGTCCCTTTGGTTCACGGCATGGCTTCGGAAACGTCCCTTTGTTTGACCCCGAATGCTCCCCTAAACCCTAAACCCTAAACCCTAAACCCTAAACCCTAAACCCTAAACCCCTCGCCGCGTCGCACTTCTACCGAAGCCATCCTTATGAGGCGGCAGCTCAGCGGCTTTTTCACCCAATAACCCAGAGAGGGTTTAGGGTTTTGGGTTTTGGGTTTAGGGTTTTGGGTTTGGGGTTTGGGTTTAGGGTCTAGGCTTTTTGGCAGCCAAGTGGAACCCTTTATACCCTTTTTTCGGTCTGGGTTCCTTTCTAAAGTAGCCAACCCCCAAAAAAGGGTAACCTCGTTATCAGAGGGTTACGGGGCTGCCGAAGAGAGCCCAAAACCCCTCAATCACGGAGTGTACCTTTAACGGGTTTAGGCGGGATGGTCGGGCATGAAGAATCACCACGCTGTGAAGGTTCATACGAACCCATAGGGTCTAGGGTTCAGGGTTCAGGGTTTAGGGTTTAGGGTTCAGGGTTCCGTAGCCATTTTGGCTCAAGCCATTTTGGCTCGGCTCGAGGATTGGTTTGAGTTGTGAGTGGGGTTCCAAGTAGAGGGCTCATGGCGGGCATTGGGACTGATCTTGAAGGGGCACATCAGAGTACAATACCGATACCCGATGACAGCGATGATGAACTTGATCCCGCCAATGATGGTGCTCCAGCTTTGGCCAGCGGAGGAGAATCTCCCAAAAGGGCGAAGCTTGGGCCTAGTTTAGCAAGTGGACGGGAATCAGAGCCACTTGCTTTGCTGGAGGGGGCTCAATCAACTGCACTCCCAGGCCTTTCAACCATGTCGGCAGAGGCTCAACTTCAGATTTTGCTCAGGGCTCAACAGCAAGAACCCGCGTGGGCCACCAGCATGAAGGAGGTTTTTTCTGAGCAGATTGCAAGGCTCGGAGGCGGCTTCCAAGAACTCCGCACCAAGATCGAAACCTCGGATGCAGCACACTCGAATCGCATGGACACAATGCAACAACAGATGGACGCCTTGCAGAATGAAGTCATGAAGATGAAGGCGACGCCTCCCCCTTCGAACCTTTCGAACCTGCAGAGGGGGCAATCCAGCTCAGCTCCAGATCGTCAACCTTCGGCGAGGCTTCCTGCTAGGGACCAGCTTCCGGACCGCCATCGAAACCAGCCAGGTGGGGAGACAATGGATACTGATTTCAACCACCTGGTCTTGGGCGGCTGGGGGACAGATAGTCGACGCCAGATCGTGCTTGATGATGCTTGGGCTCTTCTGCGCAATTTCCCTCAGATCCCGGTGAAGTCGGTGCAAGTTAGAGGACCACGAACACGGAACGCGCATGTGTATCTGGATGTTCTTCCTTTCCAAGCTGCCAAAGAGAGGTTCTATGAGATCCACTCGGCCTGCTCCAAGAAGTTCTCCACGACGGCTGGCCAGCTTATCTGGATGAGCCCAAATCGTACCTTGGAAAGACGACAGCGCAACAAAGTCACGGGGCACTTCCTTGGAAAGCTTGAGGCCCTGTGCCCAGACGAAGACAGTAAGAAAGGCATCGAAGTGGACTGGCAGTGGCAGCTCCTGTGGGCAGGAGACAAGCGGGCAATTGGGCCCTCCATGGCTGCACTTTTTGCTCCTGCCTCTGACCGCGCAGTCTCGGTGAACTTTAGGGGTGAGGATGGTGTCACCGTTCGCTTTTACGCTAATGTCACCGCCATCTCTGAGTACACTGGAAAGGACTTGGGCGACGTGGAAGTGGCCCTACACACAGACTGATCCTCACAAGTGGCCTATGACGCTGGAACCCTGTTTGAGGTAGGGTCGTGGAATATCCATGGCTGCGATATCTTCAACTTCGGGGACTGGAGTGGACTCATTGGTGAAGGTTGGGACGCCGTTGCCCTGCAGGAAGTTGGGGGTTTGGGGTCTGTGCCGTCAAGGCCCATGGGTGAATTAAATGAATATCTTCTTCCTGAGGAAAGTGATTTGCGTGATTTCTTTGTCCTTGGCACCAG